TTTGGGCCACCCTTTTCCCCATTCCACAACAGCCAGTCCTGCAGGAATTTACATCCACTGGGTGCATCCATGTTTCATCTGATATTCCCTTGATTTGTCCATGAGCCCCATGGGCTCGGCAGCTGCAGAAGTTGCTGCGAAGTTCCCCTGAACCCAGGGTTAGGTGGACAAGCAGGTGCTGGAAACTGAAGTTCCTGATACCTGTCAGCAAAGAGCAACTGTTTAGAAACCTCCTGCCTTTAGTTTTGGTGGCATTTCTTCCAGTTTGCACAGATGTGCACAATGGCCTGCAGTACCCAGAGCCATCTAGAGAAGCAAGCCTTTGAAATGTAGCCTAGCTGGCAGATCTGGTCAGCCTGGGAAACTCAGCTTTATAGGTTTTTTTGTTTGTTTACAAGTGATCTTGGCCACAGACAGGGACACACAGCTGTGGTCTGTGCATAGCTCCGTGATCAGGCTGAGGCAGGGCTCCGAGCCTGCAAAGGCTGGAGTGGGGCTGAGCTCTTCCAGCTTTCTGCTGGTTTAATTTGGAGCTGGAATTGGAGAAGCTGCTACTCTGCTGCCTCCTCCTGCGGGCTGGTGTCTTGAGGCCTGGTTTGGCTTTGCCTGAGTGGGCAGCAGCATCCATTGCCGTGGCTCAGAGCCCGCGCATGATGGACACCTCTGCTTGCTCCAGACATGCTTCTCCTGCAGACCAGAGAATACCTCTCACTGTTAGCAGTAACTGTTTTAATACAAATATCGCACAAATATATTGCTCTTCCTCCACTAATTACAATAGCATCAGACAAGGTGTGAGAGGTGTGTGTCTGAAGGCCTAGCATCTCAGAGAGGGCTTTGCAAGCGACTTCTGTGAGATGTCCGTGTGCCAGTGTGGTTCATGCTGGCTGTGGGGACCCATGTGAGCAGCTATTGGCATAGCTCAAGCAGAAATGACACAGTGGAGATTTCTAATGATGCTGATGTGCTGTGTGCCAGCCTTGAACTTCAGAAGACCCATGTTGGGGACCGGGGAGAAGGAGCAGCCCCAGCCCAGCGGTACTGTGAACCCAGTGTTATGGCAGTGCTTTCCTGCAGCAATGTCATGATAAAGGATGGTGGAGGGGGAGGCTGCTGAAAACCATGACCTTCCAGGCAGGCTCTGTTTCCCAAACACGTGTTAAACAGTGACAGACTCCTGCAGGTGTGGGCATGGGGGAACCTGTTAAATTAAAACCAGAGCGTTAACAAGAGAGATGTTTGCTTTGGGAGATAACGTGTACTTGTTCTGCACACTGAGAGCGAGGAAACTCTCAGACGCAGGTTTTACACTGTGACCACAGTACACCTTTTGCACTGTGAGGCCATGTAGTTCCCCCTTCTCCCCCTCACCCCTTCTCTTTTAAGATCAAGTATCTCCCTGAGCTTTACCAGTGCCTTCAATCTGACAACTGAGAAGCATGATAAATGGTGACAGTTCATTTTCCTCCCTCACTACATCTCACTGTGGAGCTCCCTGACCACAATGACCAGTGGCTTGAGCTTGCTGCCCAGACTGATGCTGTTACTAAGACGCCTGAGTCTCTGGTACCTGTAGCCTGGTCAATGGCTAGAGAGGAGGGAAAGGCATGCTCCCAGCAAGGTGCCCTTCGGTGGGGCTGCTCTAATGAGCCAGCTTTGTTATCTGCCTTGCTGCTGGTCCCAGAGAGGCTTGCAGGGACGTCTGCTTCTTTATTTTCTTAAAAGGCACCAAATAATGGCAGTCAAGAGCCTACCAGGAGAAAATGAGCTCTTAGGGCAGCATTTCATGTCTTGCTTGTAAGGCTTTATTGGATTAACTTTGTACTAGAACCACCATACACTTCCCTCGCTGGAGAGGCTGATGTAGCTTAACTGTGGGATAAAAGCTTTACAGCCATATTTTTGTCACACAGGTGACTTACATAATAATATCTTTACATGCATTAATGTCATCTAAGTTTTGGCAAGGCCGCAAAGCAGGCTTTTTCTCAATGATCTCTGTCTTAATGCTTTGCTCATCCCAGTGTTACGTATTGTAACTCTCTTGCTTTTCTTCTTCTTTTCCATGTTAGGAACAGTGTATTTCCTCTCCTGCACACCCCTTACAAATGTAGAGGTGCTATGAGAGAAACCCCTGGCGCTACTGTCACCATTCAAGAAGTGCCTTTTTCCTCTGTGGGTACCTGCTGCTCAGCAGCTCCAGCTGGGCAGCACTGCCAGCCTGTGTAAGGGAGACTTGCATACTTTCAGCTATTTCCCCATTATTTACACATAAAGTTAATAACTGACTCGAGAGTTGATCTACAAACATATTTTCAGGGCTGCTCTTGGTAAATTTTTACCCTTTCAGCCACAAAGCTTTTGTTTTTTGTGATTTCCTTCCTGTGTTTTCCATTAACCCTAATACATTTTAACATTAATGTGTTAGTTTTGAAACAGCCGGTGTATTCTCTCCCTCTTCTTCTCCCTTACCTGCTGGTTGTTTCTTTTTTTCACTGTCCTCTACTTCTGTTTTTGCAAAAACCAGCTTTTCTCCTCCCTTTCCCTCTTCACAGCTCCCACCATCTGTCTCTCTACAAATACAAAGCTTTAGGGGAAATGATTCACTAGCCTGCTAGCTCATTACTCACACTCTGCTCATCGTGGTTTCTGTCCTTGTAGGATGCTCTAACTAATGTAAAGATCAATGAATCCTGGGAATTGTTATTCAATTAAAAAAAAAAATAATACCCCAGCAGTTAAATACATTGGGCTTTTTGTGCTTCTTAAACACCAATGCTTAGTTTTTCTTCCTTACTCTGCTAGCATTGTTTTTCAGAAAAGGATCATTGAAACAGAAGAATAGAAATGATCACTGGACCATTTAATGCAACCTTGTGTATTGCACGATGCAGGAGTTACTTAATGAAATTCCCTGGCCCAAACCAAGCAAATCTGTGGTAAATCTAGAGCACATATTTTAGGATGACAGCCAAAATGATGAAAGGAATTTACTACCCAGCCTGCCTAATCATTCTGAATGCTTAACTGCACTCCCTAATATGCTGCTTTGCAAGGAGCAAAACTGACACAGCCTCATTCCTTACAGATTCCCGTCCTGCAGCCTTCCCCAGGCTGCACACCCTAAAGCCCTCCCGGCCCCCTGCCAGCCCTGTGCAGGGGCAGGGTCGCCAGCTGTGATTCCTGTGAGCGCTGGCTGGCCAGCTGCCCACCTCTGGGAAGAGACCTCTGCAGGCCCCAGCCGCTGCTGCCTGTCCTTCCACAGCATGCGGGCTTGGGGCTAGCTCTTTGCTCAGGTAATTATTTCCATGAAGCTCATAGGCATTTAACGTCTTTGAGCTTCTCCCTATTAAATGTGGTAGAGATTGGCCGAGGGGCTCAGAATCCATTTGAGACAGACTAGTTCACAGTGTTAAAACACTTCAAATACCAGAGACAGCCGTACTGAGTTGGCAGGTACAACATAGCATCTCAGGAGACTTGCTTAACCTGAAGACTGAGATCAGTAGTATAGGGCACTCTAAGTGACACTAAATGTTGATGTTTAGGTATCCACATCCCACTCCTTTCGTCTTTGTTGAGCTTTTAAGGATTTCTACCATGATTTAAGGCTTGTCACCATAGACTAGAAGGTTATATTCTTAATTGCAAGCTTTGTTTTTCATTTTATCACATAGAAAATGGACCTCCCCACCCCCCATGCAAGTAGGTAACAGGAAGTGTCACTACCTAACACAGTTTTATTGTGCCTTGTCAGGAAGCTGCCAGCAATGTCAGATAACCTATTTCAGTTGTTGAGCTTCCCTTTAGAGATTGGAGTTGTAAGAAGCACAGCAAATACCACAATCAAAATTGTAAGAGTTGACAACACTGGATACATCCTTCTTCCAGTTCTCTTAAATGGCTGCAGCTTTTTATGCACAAGCCTGCTAAAGGAAAATGTGAGTATATCTGCAATGTGGTTCTTCAGGTTATTTTTCATGAGCACCACAAAGCACGTCCTGTATCAACACACCACATTGGCACCACCTTCATGGAAAGCTAATTAAATATTTCGGGTAATGTAGCAGGAGTATTAATTTCTTGGCTGATTCATTTTTTGGACTACCAAACACACACACTTTTTTATAAAGCTGTGTTCAGGCCATTCTATAACAAAAATAAAGCTGAGGAGGATCTTTGGAAAGATGCCTGCATTGAGCAGGCATGAAGTGCTCTGTGTCAGAGCAGGACATTCGTGTGCAACTACTCTAAAGACTAAGGGCTGCAGAATTTTAAGCCAACAGGGCCCACTGTTACCTCAGTATGGTTAAGGCAGTTTTTTAAAAAAAGAACCCTTACCAAAGTCGTACTTACGTGCTCTGTAAAATAAAAAGTTCAAATTTTAGCAGATGTGATGTTGTTGAGCCTTCCATGGTTGCCAATACCCCGTGTCTCTCCAACATCTTTGATTATTTTATTGTTCCATACTTCATACAAGTTGTAAGAGTCAATGTTACTTCTCTTAACAATCGTTGGCTTTCCAAATGCCAATTGTCCTTTTGACATGCTTTGTTTTAAATAAGGGCTGAAGAGCAGTAATGAAGCTAGAGGCTTGCTATAAAAAATACTGCAGCGTTCCATGGTACTGACAGCACACACGTAGTCATGCATTTCACTCTCCTTTTGTGGACTATTGCTGCAACATACTGAAGGTGTCAGGGGCTGAGCTGTAAGGAAATGGAACTCCAGAGATTTCAGATCTGAGAGTCCTCTAATTGAAGACAGTGTCTTTATGCAAGACAGGCTAAGGCAAACTTGTGTTACCCAACAGTTACCATTCCTCTGTTGTTCCCAGCAATAATAAAACCTGATGCAATATATAAGGTTGCCTTACAAAAGGCAAGTGTATTTAATAGTGTATATACAAATTAACTGTTCAATAATGCTATACAAGGCAGGAATATCTTTAAAGAAACCCTGAGCAAAAAGGAGGATGTAATTTTTATTTTACACTTATTGCAACATTATTTCTGGTATTTGTTTGCTATATTGACTAATAAAGGAATATGTTAAAAACAGATGTTAAAATAAAACTGGGCATTCTTTCCATGTGCAGCTCTTAAAAATCTAGAGAAAAGAGTTCTTCCCCATCAGCTTCAGAAATAGATGTTTATCATGGTAGAGAACAAGCCGAGCCTGAGTTACCCAAGACAACCAATTCCTTTAGCAGAAAGAGTGACCATCTGGAAGAGCAGTGGCTCCCTGCCAAGAACAACCCTTTAACAACTGCTTGTCGTGCACTTTAAGCAATAACGTTCATAACGGCACAACCTGGAGTGTTGGTAAAGGTCCTACTGGAGGAGCAATGTATTCCTCCTCCCTCAGTAACCGCAATAGGATGTTCTTCTTATTCTTCGGCCAGTTATAAATGTGAGTGTTCTGCAGCCAGGTAGGCACGTGTTCCTAAAAACAAGGAAAAAAAAAGCGTAAAATCCCATAAATCCTCCTGAATCTGTACCAGAACCTTGCAGATTCCATCAGACCCTGCCAAGCAAGATTTCACTTTGTCTGTTCTAAGCACTTCCCATAACAACAAGAAATTCTAATTTGGCTTCAGAGTTGTATTTGGGTTCCTAAATAAATGAACTTTGTGTGATCTCACAGCTTGCTTGTCTCTCTTTCTTTTCTGCCATCACATTGGCTAATTTCACTACATTTCAAAGGGAGTCTGATCTCAGTGACAGGCATCTAAAGGCTTGTGAAAATAAACATTGGGAAAAGAAGGCAGACATTTCAGTGCCCCTACCAAGGAAAGGCTTCCACCTTAGTAGCTGCTGAAGGATCCACACAACATGTTCAACCTTGAGATGAGAATCACCAGGGAAAAAGCATGACCTCAGGAGAGCATTTCTTATCTTGGTAGCCTTCTCCCCCTCTCCTTGCACCTTCCTTCACCAAGCATGGTGTCCTCTGGCCACCTCCTGAGCAGGAGGTTGAGGCTGATGCTGAGATTGAGGAGAGGCTGATGCATCTCCAGATTAGCAGGATCAAACCTCCACCACTTTGCATCCTGGGAAAGATAAACCCTCTCAGGGGTTGGCTAATGTCCACTAACATAATGAAGCTGGGACTGCCATGGCCCTGAACAGTGACAGTGGGCTGGTGGATAGGACCCTGCTCCAACCTCATGTTCCCATGTCTCCACAGCCTTGGGAGGTTTTCATATGGACAGTCTGGAGTGAAGGGCCATTATCATACCACTAATTAAAATAGGGTCAAAGACTGATCCTTCACTGAAACCAGCTCATGTCCACTATGGAGATTTCTTTTCGCAGAGCTGTTATTGGAAACACCAGAACGGAAGCCAAAGGGAGACAGCAGATAAGCAACATGAGCAGTGAAGACATGCATCACTTGCTCTCTGGTCCTCTTTACTTAGCAGGACGGTATTTTCCCAAGGTGGCCCCTGTTAGGAGCAGTGCAGTACCTGTCAAGCCAGTGGAGCTAGCTCCAAGTGGACCAAGCAAAAAGCTGCTGGCATGCACCACGTCTGTGGCACCTTGCCACAGGATGCCCTGGCATGTCCTGCCTAGCTGCAGTCCAAATACTTCATTACTAAGCTTCATGCTTCTCAAATTGGCTGTCTTTTCCTTGGCCTTTACAGCTGTAGGAACAAGGGTGCATCGTTTCCACTGCTCAGGGAGTGGTTTGTGTTCATTGGAGCAACCACTTTATTAGATCTATAGGATTTATGTATAAGAAGAAGGAGGTAAGTCACCCAGGCACCTACAGTGCCATTAGTCTGACCTCATCTAGGCTTCTGAACCAGAAGCTTGGTGAGAGGCAGAGGCATCTATCAAGCCTGGCCTTCCTCTTTCTCCAGTGGCCAAGAAAATATAAGCTTTGGTCAAGGGTCTCCCCAAAGTGGAGGTTTTAAAATGTTGCTCCTTCAGGTGGACACCTCACTGCCCAGCACGGGTAAGATCCTGCAGCGTTCCCTTTGGTAGGAGCCCAGGTAAGATCTCTTGCCTCCACCTGCAAGTCTGGTTTTGTATAGGAATGGATTTTAATCTTTGTGAACTTCATTCCTTTGACAAAGCTATTTAAAGTTGGCCAAGAGATTCAAATGTTACTGGGAGAAAGAAAGATAACTACATTTGCATGCACGTGCACACCCTTATTACATAAAATTTGTTTCTTTACTAAACCTTGTTGAGAACTATAAAAGGAAATGCAATTAAATACAGCAAATGAGCCTTCTCTCTGATAAGAAACTACATTTTCGGTAGGAAGGAAATGCAGTAGACATAGTTGGTCTGAACTTCAGTAAAGCATCTGATACAGATCCACACAGGAAATCATTAGTTAAGTTTGAAAAGATGGAAATTAGTGTGAGAAATATATAGCAGGTAAGAAACCAGCAAGTGAGGATATAATGAGAGAGGCACTATACATCCAGAGACAGGCTCTGCGTCTTTCTTCCAGAACGCCTCCTGCAGCCAATTTCATTTAATATCCTCCATAATGAACTCAGTGCAAAAACCACCTGCACGCTAATCATCTCTGGCAACAATTTTAACTTGAGGGAGGTGTGTAGGGGTAAAGGGGTAACTATAGCTGCTATTTTGATCCACAAGGGGAGCAAAGTGTCCTTGCCATGTGACACTGGCTGCCACTGCAGGTGGGAGCAAGGGGAAAATGCTTACCACCCTTATATTACTTTTATTTGGCTGTGTATCTGTAAGCCATGAGGAGATTCTCTCTATGCCACAGAGATAGTATTTGACAACTGTGAGGATCAAATTGGTACGAAGAAAGCAGAGCATCTTAGTGCAGAGGGCAGGGCTGTGCACGCAGGGCCATGTTGGCGCAGCATGGTTTGAGCTCCCCTGGCTTCCCTGGCACCGACCCTGCTTACCTCACCCATCCAGCTGCCTCACCTCTGACCGAGGGAGCCTCCATTGTGAGGAAGTCACAACTTAATGCTTTGGTCATCGGGTCACCAGATGAGGAGGACACATTTCTGAGGACTGGTTTGATACAAGCCTTGAACCAGCAAGACCCAGGTTTCCTTTAGTAGTGTATGATGGGAAGCTGGAAATGCCAGTTCCACCTTAACTGTGTGTTGTGCTTTTCCCCCTCATTATTCCGTTTCCTAATGAACACTCTTCGGATCACACAGTTCCGTTCTTGTGGAAAGTTGACTAATTTTCACATACCAGCAGTGCTTTATGATGTGCTTCATCTGAGATTAACTCATCTAATAGCCATATCCTGAAATTAAACCTTTCAGACCTTGCTCTCCTGCTCTTTTCCACTGCCAGCTACAGCAGTACTTGAACATGTAAAGGAAAATGTAAAAAAGACAAAAAGTAATTTGCCTGCCAACATCATCCAATTGTATCTATGTGTGGCATTTTTCAGGTACCTTACTTCCTCTGACTGCCCATGGACTTCATTACTGCAACTTGTTCAGGCTCTGGTGCTCTCCTTCCACCCATGATGTCCTCAGTTATATTATCATTACCTAGTCAGATGAAGTTGATGATGTACCAAAGAAATGTGTGGAGAAAGAGAGCAAAGCTCAACAGCAATAGAAAATGACAATCTGCATAATTTACATGAGAAAGTCACCTCTTGAAAAACTGAAGGGTGATGTGGATTTACAGAGGATGGGCAGGAAGGCTGCCTGGAGCCTGATGTTTTGATAGGAGCAGCTGAATAAACCAACCCTGGAAATTCCTTGTAGATCACTGTCTGAGAGAACCACTGCTATATGCTAAATAGTCTTCCTATATATGAAGTTCAGCCAAAATTAATGTAGGTTTGTTGTTCTGCCTCAAAGCCCGGAGGCAGCTATAGCCTCTCCTGGGCCACCTCTCTCTGCAACCTGCTTAGTGCCAAGTGGCTGCAGGCTGTATGGGCTGACTGCATGGCAGGCACTCGAGATGCCCCAAGGTTAGGAGCAGTCCCACCTTTCCCCCGCCTCAGATCAAGCTGCAAAGGATGACTGAAAATGCTGCCTGATTCCCTGCCTTTGGTCTGCCCAATTCCCACCAGGGCAGTCTCTCAGCTTTTCACACTTAAGGCAAGTACTGGATTGAGGTCATTCAGGCAGGGAGCTGAATGACATGAAAGAGCAGAGGTACCACTCATTGCAAAGGACCTCACATACGTTACAAACCCACGGATGCATTTTAAAATTTCTGAGCTTATAGTAAATTGGTGCCTAAATAAAGAACTTTGTTACACTAAAATCCACAAGTGCAGTGGGATGGCACAGCTGTACAGTCATTAATAACAGTTTGTAAATTTTGGATCATGTTCCAAAATTTTGGCACCCAAAGAAATGTAAGGAACTTTCCAAACTTTTTCAAAATGCACCTGTACCTAGGAGCAACGTGACAGGTACCAACAGTGCACATAGCATTTTGCAATGAAAAGTGAACGTGAGTACAATATAGCCATTCTGTGTTTGGGGAAGAATGCAATTTCTCAACTATAACTGAAGCTGTTTAATTTTTCTGGCCTTGAAAAAAATCCAAGAGATTCTCTCAGAGCAAGGGAGAAGAGACAGGAATCTGTTGCATTACTTATTCTCAAATGAATCTTCAAAACCAGTAAGGAGGGCAGATGAAATTGCAAGTCCTAAAAAAACTTACAGTTTGCCTTTGAAGGGCCCATCAAAGTTCAAGCAACAGCCTAGTACTTTAATATTTATTATCCTCTTTATTCTTATATTCTCAACTCAGACTCTCCCAGATCCTCACTTCACATCAGTCATAAATCTCTCCCATCTCACTCATCGGTGTTACATCTGGACAAAATTATAAAAGGGTTAATATAAAAAGCATGTTTGCTGGGTAGATTGTCTCTCTGCATGTAAATTCTTTCAATGCTCAAGACAATTTGAGTTTTAGTTGTACATTTATCATCAGAAATACATTCGTGCTCTGATGTATATTGTGGATGAAATGTTTTTTATTTGCATGTACATAAAACTTTAAAATCTTCATGTAAAGTGTAGCTTTGGAATATTCCTAGTGGGATATTAAGAACCAAGAATTCTTTTTTTTTTTTTTTAAGATTTAAGATTTCATCTGGTGCATTGTGATCAAAATAATACGTGCTTAATCATGTGACAAGTATATATGCATGTATGAGTGTTACCTTTCTGGCATTTGGAAAAAGCACAGGGATGAATCTGAAGTTCATACTTCCTTGTTGTATAAACTCGATCTGCATCTAGAATAGAACAAATTGCCAGATTTATTGTAATGACACATTAATTTTTCTTTGCATGCATCTGAATCCTATGCATAAAAACATGTACTGCTTACTTAAATTGCTCTTCTGTTAAGTGATTTGATCTATTGCTGGTGGACTCGGTATCGTTTTGTTTGGCCACTTAATCTGATTCTTCATTACTATAGAAAGGATACAGGAAAGATCTGTCAACATTTCTTGAGCATTTAGTTCTGCCATGTGAAATAATTGTGGATATAGCTGCAGCTGCAATCCCATGAAACCCACCTAGAACCAATGACACTTGACTTGACTAAGGCCCTTGTTCAGTCTCCAGCAGGGTGGAAGATTCCAGCTTAAGACTGGCTCTGTGTCCAAACTAGGACCTAGTCTTTCCCCCATGTCCTAGCTCCATGTCTGAGCTGGGACCAGCCTCTCCCCTGTGTCCCCATACATAGGCATCCCAGTCATTGTAAGGTCAGCAAAACTACTGCTCAGAGCTCATCTGCTAGTGGCAACTTCTGAGAAATTTGACTGCAGAATCAAACTGGGGAATCTGATGGGTAACAGGGTAAGAAGAACAGGAAACTGCAAACTGAGGGAGAAAAGATGAGTTTCATGGCTCTGTGGGCTCTTCTGGGCTAAGTGTCCATCCTGTGACAGACTGCAGAGATGGGCATCTGTGACTCCTGCTGGTCTCCTGCCACTCTGCACCACCCAGGAGCCTCCCTTTGCAGCTCTGGCCTTTGCTTTTCAATTCCACCTTTTAGTCAGCTTTACTGCTGCCCGAAACCAGACCTCAGTTACAGGATGGCCAAAGCGATAGGGACTGGTTTATAGGGAGGAAGGTCAGGTACTGTTAGATAAGATCATGCTCAGGGCTACATGGCAGGGCAACAAGGGCTCAAGAAGGTAAAGGAGGGGGGAAAAGAATTGGACAATAAAGACTATAGAGAAATAAAATGAGCATGTTTAATAGGAGAGCATGTTTAATAGGATTTTTCTTCCTTGAACCTCTTAGCAGATGTTAATGAGCATACGGAGCTGATGAGAGGGAGGATTAATGAATTCCAAAGGGGGGTGTTTAACTATGGGGATTAGGGAAAACAAAGCAAAGAACCTGCCATTTGGAGACAGATTTGTCTTTTGAGAAGAAGAGACAGAGTCTTTGTAAAACAGCAAATGCATGTCCTCGCTTACCATCCTGTGGATGTATTTAGTATGTAAGCCGTGTTCATCCCTGTCCAGCTGGGATTCTGCCCCTTCCACATCCTGTTTGTATTTTGGACTGATTGCTATGATTATCATCACCGTCTTCTGTTAGGGAAAAAAAGCACTTTTATAAAATTGGGAAATGCAGCGTGTTTGGTAGAGGCAGATCGGAAATCTGCCAGTTTGTGTTTTAAGTGATCTTTATGTTCTTGGCAAACACGAGAGGATCTCATTCATTCTGGCAGGAAATAGAGGAGAACTCATGCACTCATTCTCCTCATTATTTCTCAAGATCTCATAATATAGAAAATCTAAATGTCAAGAGATATATTAGCAGCTACCAGTTTACAGTTGGAATCCCTGCATAAAAAGCTACTTTTTATCAGTGTACAGTGTCTATGTACATACACAGAAAAGTTTTATCTTCAAATTCAGCCCTAAATATTTTCCAACAGCTTACGTAAAAGTGCATCTATTTAACCATCCATGGCTTTTTATATGTAAAGCCACTAAAGGCAGTTGTCTATGGAAGATACCTCTAGGGCTCTCAGCAACAGAAATTACAACTGTTTTTGCTGATCTTAGTGGTGGAGAGTGCAGTGGGAGACGTGGGCACATTTAGGGGTACCTAACAGCTTTGTCCCACCTTGCTGCAGTGGGCTGAAGGTAATGCTCCTCACCGTGCTGGGACAGCCCAGATCCTGTTTCATCCCAGGCCCCCACCAAGCTCAGGTTTCCACACAGGGTTCATCCTTCATCTCTGGGAAATGCTTATCGTCCTTAATGGTGAGCCAATGAAGAGGCGCAGCAGATGAAAGCCTCCTACTTCTGTTTACCTAGGGCCTGTCTTTCATCCCCGCCACATCAGGCTGTTTAAGGCTTCCAAGTCTGTGGCTCATACTCAGCTTGGCACCTAATTAACTCTTTCCTTCTGTGCAATATCAAGGGAATTTGCCTCACCACAGGGTCACATACGGTAAGGAGCCATTATCCCTTACACCAAGTTAACATACTCCAGAATTACTTTTGCTTGCACCTGACATGCATGTAAGCACTTACAGATGTTGAGGGTTTGCAGAGACATGTCCGGTTGCACACATCCCCCTGCTTGTGTCCAAGTAGTCACTTCTTCCTCACACATTTAAGGGTTTTAAAGTTAGAAACTGTCTCCACAGTTAATGGAGGAAAACAAACATTTCTGGGGTGGGCAGCCAGAGAAAGATCCTCATGTGGAGGCAGGGAATCACTCCCTGCACATACTGGTCTCTCCTACTGACTGTGCAGAAGTCCCAAAGGAGATCTGCCATGGTGAGCCCAAGCCTAAGTTGTCCTGATGAAAGCCCCAAAAGGCCTGACTGCATTGCCACAGCAGAGGCCCCAAGCTGGTTCTGCATGGTAGAGCTCTTGAGCTAAAGTGTCTTGCTGGACGCCTTTAGGAAACACGTGTAACACTGTCTCAGATGGTGAGGCTCCCTTGGTCAGGTTGGGGAGAGCCCACCACTTTATCATCCTGTTCCCAAACCACGAAAATAAGCCCAGAGTGAGTCAGAGTCCCAGTGGCTACCCAGCAAAGCACAAATGAACTGAAGCCACCCCATGATGGCATGTGCTAAGTGACAGAATTGTCAGTTTGTGTTTAGCTGTGCTGGAATAACGGGACCACTTGGCGTGATCCTAAAGGAGATGTGCACTCACTGCTTAGTTGAACTTCAAAGGAAGATGTGGCTGCAGGGGACTGCACTGGCAACAACATAAACCTCTATTTTACTGCTTGGATAGATACAAAGTGATGAGAGGAAATCTATCGTTTGACTAACAGAATAGCAATTTCCAGTTTACATACAGCATGGCTTATCCAGAAGAGCCCTTTAGTATTTTAGATAGCAACGTAAAAGCTACAGGTAAGAAGCAGGATGAACATTAGCTACTACTATGCAGTCTGGGATGAAATACAGATATCATTTTACCAAGCATAGATAAACCCCACTATTTAAAAATGAGATGGAGAAACAACTTTTCCAATGGCAGCTTCAGGCTGAATGTAACAGCCAGCACTGGAATCTGGCAGGGATTCATTTCTTAAAGAGCGAGCTTTGGGACCATAAGATACAGAAATGAAGGAGATTTGTCTGTGCTCTCTCTGCAAGGCCTCTACCATTTCTGTAGGGGCAGGGAAGATGATAGTAGGGTCTTGCATTTTGATTCTGCTCCTGTTGCTATTAGAATAATTCAACCATTTTCCTCAGGTCACCTCTATCATGAACAAGGTTAAATTGCTTTTACATACATCACCCAGGTACCGCTCCATCCACTTAATGATGTCAATACCTCGTACCGTGTCCTCAAATATATCGATCTGCAGGAGAATGAAAGTCTGTGATGAGCATCCTTTCACCTTTCCTCCCCATTTGGTGGCACTGAAAAGGCACCTGCTCTTTTCCCTAGTTTCTACCTGCATGCCTAATTCCCTCATCAAAGAAATGTGTACATACACAACTTCCCCCTTTCCCTGAAGACCAGAGTTGAGCTGGATGGGCACTGTAGGCAGCTGGAGAGGGGATGTTGCAGGCACACCACTGGGCTCCTACTGAGCTAACCATTTGACTGGGCACCCTGCCCTGCCAGTTCCCAACTCCCAGGCATTTTTTGCTCAACAGAACAAGAAACAACCACTTCTGGTGCACGTTAGATATTTGATATTTTCAAAATGGCTTTTTTGCCTCTCTAAACACCTCAAAAAGGTGGATAGTTGTCCATATTCTCTATCTGTATAGCTGCAAATGTCCACTGTTTTCTGGCTGCAATGGTATATACTGGGTGTCAAGTCTTAAGATTCATATTGAACTGTTTTTAGGGTGTGTAGTGGGAAGTCAGGCAGGTCACTGATGCTGGTAACCCAGACTTCAGCAACAGCAGAGGCTGAGGACTTCATAGGATTGAATGCAACAACCAACACCACTCACTTCCCAGAAACTGGCAATCAATGACTGTGATCAATGCAGTAAGTATTAACTTCTCCAAGCTTTTCATAGAAAAATCATGTTCTGCTCTCAAGTCTTCTTCCCCTTTTGTTTCCCTGCTTTGGGGCCATTTTGCTGTATTTATTATTCTGCAGCAGGCTCCAACAATTCCCTATCCAGCAAAGGTACTGTTAATGAGCCTTCTACTCCATACCTCTGTGGTGCCCAGAGCTTTCTTATGTATTGGTCATAGCACAGAACTGCTGGAGAGAAGTATAATTACAGTCTCTGGAAAAAATCTTTGATATATGAAAATAAATAAGTGTGTGCAAAGCCCCCCACCAAGTCTCATTCAGTTTAATGATAGACACTTGCTTAAATGCTTTCCTGAATTGAAGCCAAAGAGCGAAGGTTGAGGGGTCAGATAGCATATGCACTTGAAATAAGAAAATATGAATCAAGATTTTGATGAATACCAAATCCTAGAGCCTCTGTGGATGGTTCCCTTAGAGAGGGCCATTATGATGAAGCAAGCTCATGAGAAATTAAATGAAAATCTGGATGGCTTATGGAATTAGACAGTGGGACACATACCTTTTCAGGCCAGTGAGTTTAGAATCTCTTTTAAAAGCATAACAAAGCAAATGAAATCATGAGATAGGTTGTTTCATTAAGCTCTGTGAAATACATTGATTTTAGATCATTTTTTAGTAGAAAGGTATTCACATCTGAAGAACTAGCAATGTAACAGCATCACGGAAAAAAAAGTTGGGATTGGACGAACATGAAAACTGACCTTTTTAATATTGATATTACAGATCAAATATAAGACAATGTTAATGGAATAGCTCACAAAACCTCATACTATTGCCCATCTGGTATCCGGTGTCACTAAATGAAATTTTCTAGGGTCATTATTAGAATACATTTAAAAGCATAAAAAAATCAGTTAAAATATGAGAAAATGAAAAGGCAAATCATTTAAGTTTAAACTTTTAAAGTCAAGGCTAGTTGATCTATTTGTACCTTCTTTAACCTACCAAATACAGTGATAAAAAGAAAAACATTTAAATGGACAGTGTATCACCTCTGCTTTTTACAAAATGTCCCTTTCCCCTGCTGGTTGAAAGTCATTTTCTCCAGAAGGAATACTTACAGCAGTTTGAAATCCATTTACAAGCAGGAAGTTCACTAATTTCATAACCTCCACTGCTGTGTCCACCGAATAGGTTATAAAGACCTTGCCTAGGAGAGAGGATCCATATGAATATGCAATGCATTAAAATACAGCATTTGGACGGTGAGACTTTCAGAAGCCTCCCCTTACACTGCGCGGCAGGTTCTACCCACCTATGTCTCTTCGGATTTACAAAATGGATGAGGGATAGCTCAGTGGCTTGGTGTTGAACTCAACCCTCTGGACAGAAACCTTGCTCTAGATTTAAACTCCTACTGCCTTGCTGCTGGCAAGCACCCCACTTCCTCTGATGGAAGCTGCAGAGGGTACCATCACTCTGCTGCTCACCCTGCCCTGCTACCAGGGCTGCTTCTTCCCCAGCACCTGTTGGCATCTGTGAGGTTGGGTCCTCCTCCAGAGCTCATGCCACCTGCACCAGCTGCAGCCAGCACAGCTTTCACCTGGACCTCATTGATCTGACTGAGAGCTGGAGGAGCCCTTATGCATGCTGTACCCCCTGTGCAGGCAGGATGGATGGCTGAGGACAGCAAAGTCTTCAGCTGACCTTACCAAGCAGAAGTTTTCTTGCTACGGAATCATGGACTTGCAGTCAGGGTAAACCAGCTGGCTAATCTAATCCGGCTGTGTCTGTACCACAAATGACACAATTTTATCCAGTAATTCCTGTATCTAGGATGCACTGATAAAGTAGGGTCTATCCAAGAGTGGTGTCTGGTGTCATAACTCACTCCTACAGGCCAGAGAGATGCAACTCTCTGGATTGGAAAGGTGATGTGAAAAATGAAGAACAACAAAATCAAAACCTCAGGAGAGACGTGGAGGGTTCTTAGCAATGGCACTTGCTGGCTAGCATGGCATAAAGAAGGAAGTCAGTTTTCTGAAACCTGACTTTCCCATAGGAGTTGAAGGCTGAAAGCATTTCAGGGGCTTGTGTGAGGGGAAGAAACTCAGCCAGTGCCTGCGCTGCCCTCAGCCCTCAGCTCTCAGTGTTGGGATCCTGGCCCAAAGTTCTCTCCAGTCACCAGGTCAAGACTCGACAACTTTGTCTGGTTTGGGACAGGCAGAAACACTTTATCCCTAAGGCTTTGTTTGTTATTAGTCCTTTACTGTAAGCTTCAGTGCCTCCTGCCTCAAAGGGACATCCTGTTTAGCAAGAAGTCATGGAAGCAATCTAAATGGTATTTATCTTTCGTAAACAAAGTAACAAGCAATTAATGACAATTACGTTTTCAGGATTCAAGGAGATAATTCCATCCCTCCAAACACAAACGCTCACACCCTACAGATGTGATGACACTCAGTATTTTCTTTTCTGTTGTCTTTGTGTCTTAATGACATTCCCCCTGCCTTCTCCCCCCCGAAGCTTTTCCACCTAAAGTTGTCAGGCTGTGCTGTAAAATCTTGCACAGAACAAATTTGCCAACCACTTACGCAACTCCTCTGGCAAATTGCTGGTTCTCAGAGTTCCCTTGGCTGCAGGGTTACTGAGAGGTCTCGGGACGGCAGCTGGAGATGGAAAATTGTCACAAGGACAACAACATGCTTCATCCGGGCCACATGCCTTGGGGGGCAGCTGGCCATTAGGTAGCTGGTTGTATAGCTGATTCCTACAAAGTCAAGCAAGTGAGGACTTAAAAGAGTATTTCTTTTCAGGCAAAATGTTTTTTTTTTTCTTTTAATAACACACTAAGAACTTTATCTGCGTATCAGCTAGGAAAAGTTCTGGTAGAAATGCTTTGCTCGGCATTTCTACTTAGTTATTACAGTATCTTCTGAACGGACACCTTGGTGACAGTCTACCACAAGAAGCAGTTTACTGCAGAAACAACATTTGCCACAGGAAGTAAGTGCACCTCACAGCTGAAAGCTGTTCAGTTTTCAATTAGCAGAAGCAAACGCTGCTTCTGAGTGAAAAATACATGCTGTGCCATGGATATCGTTATGCATGTATGGGAGCAGGGAGGCACTTGCGTAACCTCTTCCCATACCTAAAGGGTGCTTCACGGCACCTCTGATGCTCCCAGGATGCCTTGTGCAGCACAGGAGGCACAGTGCAAGGTGGGGATTGGGAAAAATGGGGTTCAAGGGCACTCCAACTCGAGCTCTGGCACAGCTTGGAGGGTCTCCAGTTTTGGACAAAACTCAAAGTTTGCTAAAGGGAACAAAGTTAATTTCCTGAGCAGCAACAGCAGACCCAACGAGGCTTTCTCATGTCAGGGATCTGTGCTCCAGACTTGCAATAACCTTGCCTAATATCTTCCCCATCGTAACAAACAGAGCGAAAGGGATGACTTTAGGAACCTTAGCAGTTCTTGTCCTACTACACTTTGGCTTCACAGTTTAAGTCAGTAGGAAGGGGAATCTATTGAGATTTTTATCTGAGGTGTGCTTTGATTCTGCTGGGTTGAATCTTTCAGACAAGTACTAGGTTTCTCTAAAGCTTTTCCCCACAGAGCAGTGATGTTTAGTCAATCAAGCCCATTCTCTTTTTTCTCTTTGCCTTCCTTAAATGAATGATGACAAGCTGGTCACAGCATGTTTTCTGTTGTCACATTAAGATTTGGTTTATTCATTTCGGTACAGATGTTTTCTGTTACAAAATACTCTATAGGCAAATACTACCAACATATAACTGCCGTTCCTGGAATCAGCATGAAAACACCATGCAGGCAGCCACAGGACAGACCCCGCACATTCTGGATTTGTTTTAGCAGAAGAAAGTACTACGAAAAGCAACACATACTTCATCGATGGCCACAAGAAGTTATCCTGTGCCTAATTTACAGATCTTCCCCAAACTTCACCTGATCCAACAAATGTGCCAAAAATTAGGAATCTGTTTTTAAATTTTACTACTGCAAAGGATACCCACTATTGCTCAATGTTTTTACATTCATACAAACTCTTCGGTGCAATTACCTCTGCTGCAGGTACTGCCTTATCTTGCTGTCACTTTTCTGTCACAGCCACTAATTTTTCACAGGCAGAACAGTGTGATATCTCAGTCATCAACTGCCGTTGGTCCCACCATTTCTCCCAATTTTCTGCCCAGACCACGTCATGTTAAGTGCACATTTCAAACACAGATGCCTGTAGGTCTAGCACCTCTAAAGGTAATGTGTCACTTACTTAAATAAAAACAGTCTTCAGGTAGATGAGTCTGGAAAAAACCTTGCTTGGATAGTATCTCCCATCTGCTAATGACATACTTATAAGGAGGGAGGTATAAGGCCTGGTAAATTAATATTTGAGAATCAGTAAAAAGCCCTGGATAAAAAGTGCTAGACTTGTGATGGTTTACTACTACATGAAAAATCATAGAAAAAAGCTGCAAACAGCAATGTAGAGATATATCAGCAACAGATGGGATTTTCTCCCTTTTTTTCTGCACTGCAGAGGAGATAAGAAGGAAATCACTGGACACCGATGATTGAGGCGCCCCAGGCTGGTACAGCGTAAAGCTGAAAACTGCAGTGAGCCACCGACTTGACCTTTGCTCTCAAGCAGGAGAGCTCTAAGGTTTCAACTGAGATATTTTTCAGACCCTCATCCCTTTAACCTTCAAGCATTTATCTTCCTTAATGCGTGCATTTCAGGGTGCACTGTAATAACATATCAGGTATCTGGCTTTGAAGTTCTCTAGGGTAAGGTCAGGACCCTGCTGGGTGTAAAACAGCAAATAAAGAAAACTACCCAGCATCTTGCATGTACCCCTGCAGCCCAGGCTAATGCTAACGTTAGAAGGCTTCAGAATTATTGGTTGAAAGCCCACAGAGTCAGATCAGAGGAGCTTCCACTGTGCACAACCCCCTCTTCCTCTCACCCCCCCGCCCCACGAGGCATACTTACGGGAATCGAGGAGGACCAGGGGAGGAGCATGTCCTCTGGGGTGGCCGGCCTCTGGTGCCCTGGGGAGCATGAAGGTCTGAGTAATTTGGGATGACTTGCTGAGCTGGGCGGATAACTCTCATGCAAGGTCCAGGAACAGGAGGAAGCGGTTGCGATGCATGTTCAAAATGTTGGTAAGGAGCTCTGCCATCTGGGAGAGTGAGAAAATAAAGGCAGCAACTATCATTTCAGCCAATACATTTTTCCCTCAATTTGTGTTTATTCCTTTCCAGGCACGTCGTCCTTCATGTCTTGGGAAACTGAGCAATTTGGAGGCATTTGCAGGTATCTTGGCCTGAAAGAAGCCAGATCAAGGAACGTTTTACAGTCTGAAGGTTCCATTTCCCATTTGGCATGGTTTAGATCCACACCCTCAGTTGGGCTGCAGGGACAATTGACATTTAAACATTCAGGGCTGCTTTGTCCCTGCCCTTACCATGCCTCAGTGTTCCTTGGTTATTTTTTTTTTTCTTTTTTAATTTCTTTTTGGCAATAACTTCTGAAAATGAATCATCCCAGCATTCTCATGAAAGCAGATGCAAAATCCTGGAACAAATCAGTTTGCAACACTAAAGCTAAACAGGCTGTGAGTATTGTAAATGAAAAGCGAAAAAATAATCTCTTGGTTTGTTACTTCACCCTGTATGAATTTTCTGCCTAAGTGACCTTTCAAAGCCTTGCTGCTGCTCCTATTGCCATCCAGGAGGCTGCAGGGAAAACCCAAAGTGATAATTTTGCTCAAGTAATTCTGAAAAACCTTACTGTTGTTGGCCACACACACACAATGCTCGTTAATAACTAACGTACAGTGGAACTGTTGGCATAAACTGAAAGCAACGTAAGCTGTTTGTTTCCCCAAAAGGGAAAAACTACTTTTTTTTTCTTTCCTCCCAGTCTTTCTGTGTGCAGTTTTCATTAGGCAGCAGCTCTGTGCACTTTCAAGCTGCTGTGCACAGATCAAAGTCCAGCCTGGCAAGGCTTATTAGCACTGCATGATGATGGTGTTATGAGCTGGCTCTGAAAGCTGCAGTACTCAAACGCTGTTCCCTCCCTAACCCCTGCCTGTTTTTTAAAATCCTTTAGTTATTCCGTGGTCATGCTTTCCTTTTCCTAGCAGCCATAAGGACTAGATTGTTTTTTAAAAGGGGAGGGGAAAAAAAAGAAAGAAAACAAAGCTTTGATGAAATAGTCCAATTCCAGGAGCAAATACTTCAAAATAACCCAACCCCACAACTGCAAAGAGATTCCTGATGAAATTGTGAGTCTGTAATAACACTGAGATTCACATTTGTTTACATTGTTTTAAGAGATTTTCCTGCTCCGCCTCTTAACTATATGCAACAGGACAGGGTTGGAAATAGGTGATCTTAAAGTCCTTTCCAACCCTAACTATTCTATGATTCTATGAAAGAGGCTGGGAGAACAAAATTGAAAGTAAACATGGTCTCCTCATGGGTTCCTCATAACCAGCTCTTGGAAATGTGGCAGGGCTCTGGAAGATTCGGTTTGGTTTACAGGTTTTTAGGCCAACGTTTCCCCACCTTCCTTTGGATCTGTCTGCTAATACAGTATTTTAATGGATGCAACCCGTGCCGTGCAGAAGCACAGCAAGGCCAAGTGTGCATGCCCGATCACACCAACAGCTTTCATATATAAATATCTGAAATAATGGTCTCTGGGCACATAGCATTGCTGCAAGGATTTCTCTGACTTTAGAATCAGTTTTGCTTTTGTATCTCAAATAGCAGGTGTCCGGAGCCAGCTTAGAGCCTACGGGCACAATTGCTATTCCCCGGGAGAGGCGTGTTGCAACACACAAACTGCAGAGCTTTGTTGTGGGTTGCCACTGCCCAACAATTATCTGAAACGCAAGGAGCTGTCAGGAGGTGATTTACGCTGTACCGGGCATGTGAGAAACAGGAGTACAGTTGCCAGCTTCTTGGTCCTGACCAAAGCTGCTCCAGCCATCTGAGTTTATTTTCTTCTTTTGCCCTCTGGATATGGTTGAAACGGTGGTGATTTTTCCTAAAGAAAGCCTTTCAGAGTTCCTGCTTAAAACCAAAATGGCCTCATTCAGTAACTGTCCTACTTTTCACGATGTCCGCGTGTGGAGGAGGTAAATGGAGGTAAATACTGAGGGGTGTTGTGCAACCAGCTCTTTGTCTGCTTAAAGCTGAACTGAAAGAAGGTATGAAAAGAAAACCAGAGGACATTTTGCTAATGTTCAGCTGCAGACATTGATGAAAGTCCATCTGTAGCGCCTTTACAAAGCCCCAAGATCAGTGGTGAAAACTGAGGCTCTGATACCCTCTCTCTTTCATATACCTAATTATAGCACATCGCTGGAATAACAAAACTCCTTAAACAGATGTAATATAAATGCTGCGGAGTCAACAGAAGGTTTTGGAAAAAAAAAAAAATGAAAAAAAGGTTATCAGAACAGGCCTACAGCTTTTATTACAAAGCCAGCCCAAAATGGGTTGGGGTCTCATGAGTCTAATGTAATATAAATTATATTAAGACAATGATATTGCTGTTAAATGTTCAAAGCTCACTTCATAACAGATAAAAATCTCTGGGACTGAAAAGGAATACTAATTAATAGCAGGCTGTAAACCGCGTTGTAGTCTCCAAGAGCCAAAACACCCATATTGACAGAGTCACATCAGCATTCAGTGATACAATCACCAGCAGCTGAGAGGGCTCCATTTTAAGTAATGAGCTTTCATTTCAGCTGACAACAGAAAAAAAAAGAGGATGATGGATGTCATGCTCTTTTCACATAGAGATAAAACACATGGGTGAGTTTGGTCATAATGCTGAGAGACACTATTTACAGAGATCAAGGGTAACCTCCCATCCTGATCCTGGCAGGAAATTCTCAACTTTGGGGATCCAAGTGGGAGCAAGGAAATCTATGAAAACAACAGGAATTAGGTTGGTATGGGAAGCTGCTGAATGACTGATGCAAGGAGGAAGGAAATGACTAGAATATGAAATAACAGCAGGGAGAAGGCTGTGTATGTTCAGGGTGACTGACAAAGGCCAGTTTCTAGGCAAAATCATTAGCCTTCATTTGATGAGCAACTGTGACCTGTTTAACTTTTTATCTAGCTCAGAGGTTCTGCATCACAGTCCAGCTGAATAACCTGAAAACCTGGAAATATAAAATGGACTGCAAATAGATGTTTAAAAATGTTAATAATTACATGCCATGTATTGCCATTAAGCACAGTAGGAAAACACCAGCTTGGTGAATGATGGCTGTGATACAACTGGAAAACCTCTGGTGGGGTGAGTGGTGCTACTCACATGGGCCCTGGGGGTGCTGCTTTGCCAGGCAGCGGTGCTCAAAGCAGCCATGATCTTGCGAGGAGGTGTTGGGATGGGGCAAGTGCTGGCACATAGGGCACTGCTGATGCTCAGGTCCAAAAAACACTCTGGAGATCAGTGGTCCTGGAAGGTCCTGGGGGTTCAGCATGGACACCAGCGGTAAGGGGGGATCCAGGTGCCGGGTGCCCATGACATCTCGTGACTGGGAGCTGTACCCTGTGTCCACGGTCCCCAGCTCTGCTGGGGGTCTGTTTCCTGAGTGTTGCCGTGACCGTGAACTCCCTTGGCTGCTCTCCTCCAGTGAGTCCTCAGGAGCATCAGACAAGCTTTGCGCTAATTTACTGGAGTTGTGTCCAGTGTCAGCTGAAAGCTGTGATCTTGGCTGCATGCCTGGTTTGTCCATAGCTACAAGATGCATCTTGGAGGCAACTACTCCAGCTATTGATTCAGTGGGGGAACAGAAGTGCCCATCTACATCAGGATCGGTGTATCTGGACCACAAGCTGCTATCTGGCTCCATGGACGGTGCTGAGTGAGGATGTGTTGATGCTCTGCAGAGGCATGATGCATTGGCCACAGGCTCAGCTGTTTGAGAGACACATGGTCTCTGGGACTCCTCATCCTTCGTATCCTCTCCAGAAGACTGCAAAGCCTTTTCCAAGATATGTTCGGGAAATGGGGACCACGGCATGGATTCATCTATTTCAACTGGTATGCTTTGACCCACTGAAGTGCCTGAAAAAGTGGGAGAAGAAACACTGTAGATGGACAGCCATACAGACAACTGCCTGTCATTAGTCCTCACTCAATGACTATAAGATGAAGACCAGTATTCCTTATATTCCTTCCAATATATATTCTTTATATTTTTGTGGTTTTTAAAAAGACAGGAAGAAACAAACAAGAAAGGTCTGTCTGAATTTTGGCAAAGCAAGAGAATAGAGGGTTAGCTGGAGTGTGGCTAGCACACAGTTACATTTTGGACTAACCTGATACAAAGGCCATTTCCAAGCTTTGTAGTCGCACCGGAAATGAGAGTCAGCTGCCTTTCTGCAAGGCCAGGATTTTCCAGCAAACTGGAAAACAAGAGAAACGACTATTGTGAACATGGTACAGTTTCACATAGGCAATAATCCTAAAATAACTCCATCTCAGAGACTGGAAAAGAAATACCAGTTAGAGTTCTGGAAATCACATTGCGCAAAACATGCTTTTATGGGATTTCTGGAACTTAGTGTTCCTGTTGAGACTGGAGGAGGAAAAGTACATGAACTGTCTCTCAGAGGTAATTTCTGCACCTGACAAAAGAGCAGGCTGCTTAGGTCTGGAGGTTTGGCTCCAGCATATTCCAGGGAATACAATCACTCGCAATTCTTTTACTCCAGACCTTCTAATAATAGCATCACATTGATGTTTCAGCTCTAAACTTCACCAAACACCCAGCTAAGTAATTTCACATCAAGGCTTGTTCCCAAGAGTTGCTGCTTATTTTATCAAACCACTTCAGGCTTGGGCCATTTTTCTTCTATCAATCAATCACATTGGAGAAGCTAAAATCACCAGTAGGAGAGTTATCAGCAAAGAATGGACTAAGCACTCAAGCAGTGGGAATGACCACTAGCAACAGAATCTGGCTTGAAAGCCTGATAAAAAAAGTCAAAACAACAACACATTTGGGGAACTTTTAGCAACCCAAGGATTTCTCCCAACTTCAGTCACAGTAGCTTGAACAGAAAGGTCAAATGAAGAACACATTCAAATGACCACAGCACTAAAAGCAGCTGAAGAGGATCAGAGAGAGGTATAAGGCAGTGTTTCAACCTTCACCCTGCCTCTCACAGTAAGTCTGTAAGAGCAAATGATGTGCCCTGTGCTATAGGGCAAGAGTGAGGCTTTACATTCATGCTGATCAGATAAAATGACATCTATTTCCCCCTGAAAGTATCGCTGGCATAGAAAATTCTGGATGTAACATCTACTGGGAAGCAGGATAAAAACTGTG